GACGACGAACGTAGGTGGTGGTGGTCCGCCGCGGAATTCTCCGCTGTGGAATTGGATAGTCATTGGTTCTGCTATATATGTATCGTGTTCCTTTTTTTTTGTTCACAATGTATCGTGTTCCCATTGTTGGTAAATAACACAAAAAATCTTCTCCAATTTTCTTTGATACTCTGACTTTCTCAAAACAAAAATGAAGCAATCGAATGTGATCAAAATCCAGAATCACAAAATCAAAGCTTTAGATTTTAATTTGGTAATATAATGTTCAGTTAATCAGTTTTTGAATTTGGGGATTTTGAATTTGGGAATTGGGGATTTTGAGTTTGGTTACGACAATGGGTAGGGACGTCGGGTTATAATAAGGAAACCGGTCTGTTTTTTGGTTTGGTTACGACCCATACATGGTTTCGTCTCGGGTTTACACATCAAACCGACGTAACCACGAATCGGGGAGATTAAGATATTGAACTTCCATTTCGGGGGAAAATAAGTGTTTAACTTCTGTTTCATGGACATATAGACCGAGATCAAAGAATGGGCTCTATCTGGCGTGATACGATACTTCTCAGGGGGAAATAGACCGTTTTTCCCTTCAAATTCCCGTGAACCCTATTTAGCTAGTTTTAGTCAATCTCATTAAATTATCAGGTTAACTGTACTGAATAATTCACATCCAAACTTATTTCCAGATATAAAAAAGAGAAAGGAGACAATTATTTTCTCCGTTTCATAATATAAATTGTTTTATATAAACTTTTTTGTTTTATAATATAAATTGTTTTTAATTTTCTATTCAAATTATATATATTTTAATATTTTATAATTAATTATATTATGCAGTCTCTTTATGACTAGTTGAAGTTTTTAAAATAGATATTCTTAATATGTATATTTTCAACTAAAACAATTTATATTATGAAACGAAAGAAACATAACTTAGAGATCATTTTTTATATATATTATGGTTTGCAACATGATTTTATTTTAGGAAGTATATATTGATCAAATACCTTTTGCATTTTTGGGAATCTTGTAATTTTATTAAACAATAAACTTAATAATTTTGCATAATAGATATATAATTTTGTAATTTATTTTCACGTAAAATATATATATATATATATATATTAAATGAATTACAAAATTAAAAAATAAATTACAAAAATATATATATATTAAATGATTTTGGGTAGAGGTGGAGGATGAAAACACTCAACCAATAGTGCTGAATCATTTTATTTCAATATGTATACAAACTAAAATTTAAAGATTTCCCATAAACCTAGATCCATTCCTGTTGGTTAGTGACGAAAAATCAAAATCAGTTGCAATCAGCAAAGATTACATTTCTTGCAATATAATGAAAACTATAGCTACTTTAGTTATGTAAATATGTAATTCTGTAAGAAAAAACTCGCCAAAATGTTTGACTAATAACGACATGTTAGTGTTTTTGTTTTTGTCAAAACATGTTAGTGTTTTAATCAAACAAAAAAAAAAACTATACTTACATGTTACTGTCTCTAAACACGCATATAACTAATATGTAACCGATCGATTGCTTTCTGACTTAATCAACTAAATACGAATTTTTCACTTAATAATAGGACGAAAATTCTATTCACAACAAAATATTCGGTAATCATATATAGCGACTTTTAACTCTTTAAAATATCTTTATAGATATGCTATTATAATCTCACGTTAGCAAATTAAAAACAATTACAATTTGTACTTTTTTCTGCACTTGTATAGAATACAAATTTTATTATGGAGCAGTAAACACAATTTAAAGGAGGAAAATTTAGAACTATTGGATCAATGAGCATAGTAACAACTAAAAATTAAGAGAAAGAGATAGAGACGACAATAGTAATTATACATACATATTGTCAAACCAAAAGAAAACAATCTAATTAAGGTTTTGTCGTTTCCCCAGAGTGATTGAAGGCACTTAACATGTTGAGGGGGATGAAGCCTGGTCCGACGATACCATTACCATCTATATATATGTACATAAGTACATTACACAATCATATAATGCATCATAACATATAAATGCATGTGTATGCCTTTATGATATCCTCGATCCAAACAACATTCCCCACAACGGAAATGGCCTCTTCACGATAATCAGTCGCAGCTGATCAATCTTAGAGGAGTTATTTATATGTAGAAAGAGAAAGTGATAGAAGACATTAGACAGAGAAAGATGATGATGATGATGGTGTTATGATGAGGGAATGATGAGGATAAGAGGAGGAGATGGGCTTTTAAGAAGACTGAAACAAGTCGTCATTCCAAAACCCTAGCCCTTGTCTTCTTAAAAAAAATGTATTTTATATCGACGTACTTAATACTCAGCCGACATGTTTTAAATTGAAACTTTACATATTCTTCAAAAGAATTTTAATTTCCTTATTTTCAGAAGCTGGCAACCACGCCTAGCTATGTTATTAGT